TGCACATCCAGAGAGTCACCGCACAACAACTGATTATCAGTGCGTTGGTAAGCAGTGATGGGCGACGTACTCCATGAGGATGATAGCTTACGGGCGATATTTTCTCGAGAGCCCTGGGATGCCTTGTTCCAGGCCAAGCTTGGCCAGCTGTGCGCGGCATACCTCGACGGCGCCTGGGCCCAAGTGGACTGCGCAAGCATTCAAGTCACTGCTGCTACGTAAGCTTTCGTTTTTCGGGCACTGCACGAGTTGTACCACAGCTGCATCTTCCTGGATGTAACGGCATCAAATTCCGGGCTTGCAGTGCACCACTAGCAGTCACGTGGCCGAGCAGTCCGCCCTGACACTTTCATCGCTTTTCTTGGCCTCAGCGCAAGTTCAGCAGACAGCTCCCTTCTCTCTTCGGCACTCGCAAGAGCTCGCAGAGGAGTTTTGCATTGGGTGCGGGCAAAGTTCCCTGAAAAGAGCGAAATTCCGTGGCGTGGGTGAGCGCAGGGCCTTCTTTAAGTTACCGCAGAATCCCTCATCGCCCGTTGAGTTTTTTGTTCAGGCTTTACACGATCAGCCAGTGGGTTTGGAGCAGACTGGATGCTTTGAAAGAGTTGAAATTTCAGAGGCGGTGCAAACAATCTGATATTTGTGGTGAAGCTACCAGAGGGGACGAGCACGGAGTACGGCGAGCCGCATGCAGCGATCCTTCGCATTTACCGCAACCTGGGCGAGAATCGTGAGCTTCCAGAGGGTCTTATCACTGCGGTGCTTGCCGAAAGGTTGCTGCTGCCTTTAAGACTGATCCGTCCAGGGCCTGGCTCTCACAGCTCTGTTGTTTCAGGGGCCTGGGTCCTGCTCTGCATGGTGCGTTTCCTGGCGGACGCTTCGAGCAGTACATACCTTCTCGGATTCTGACCAACGAACAGTACTGCAAACCGTGGTTCGTGATTTTAGCTTGCCAACTTGCACTGTCGCTTCAGCAGCTCTTTTTGTTGCTTCTCATTTTTGAATGTTTTCCTTTGCGCAGTAACTGACAAATGTTACGAAACGTTCGTTTGCCTCCTCACAGGTGTGTGCGCTTTGTTGTTGTTGTTGTCACCGGTAAGCGATGGTTCCCTTTTCCGAGCTTCGTTGTCTGATTTTCAAAATTTTTTGCAAGATTGTCTTGGTCATGCATAGGTGCCGGGTTTTTTTAAGCCAAAATTCTGGGTACCCTACAGCAAGCTTACTAGCTTTAGCTCATCATCGTTGCAGTGTTGCGAGGGAGGTTGGTTGCATTCTTGCGCGAATCCACTCGCTCGATATGCCCGTTAACAAGCAACTCCGACTTGTGCATTTCCTGGACGAGATGCTCGGGCGGCTGAAACGAGCGGCTCGCTGGTCACGGGGCCATCCGATGCGTACCACGTTGGCAAGGGTCAATAAAAAACTGGTAAGTTGTTGCAGACAGTAACGCTGCTTCGGCATCAACATCAGCAATCCTCGACGTGAAAAAAAATTTGCTGTAGTTCACGTGACGCCGAGGGAAGCGGTTGCGCTGTCATCGGAGTCGTCTTGCGGTTCGCCTGACGAGAAGCGGTTCCCGACAGAAACGCCAGCCGTTTTGAGGTGTCTTGTATGTATGTGTGTTGAGCAATTGTTTAGCTGATAAAAGGGATTAGAAGTGTAGCTGCAGATCATGCGATGAGAGGAGAGCCGATCACAGTAACACAGAAATAATCTTATGCAGTTGCAGTGCCCGGACGAAATCACTATCGATTTGCTAGCGGAGGAATTGGAAATTTGCAAGAAGTGTTTGGCACGAAGTGGCAGCCCTATTGTTTTTAGCAATAATGATTTGCATGTACGTTGCTTCTGCTTCTTCTGTCACCGCTCCTGCTTTCATCCACTGTATCGGGTTGGGAGAAATTGCAGTTCGAACTGAACAAAAAAAAAAAAAAGGAGAAACAATTTTCTGATTGTTCCCACTGTTATTGCTAGGATTCCAGTAGAAAAATTCTTCTGGAACGATTTCTTCTGGTCGATGACTTTGGGCAGTTTCTCCGTTCGCCTTTTAGATAGTGCCAGTTTACCGTGTTCACGTCTAATTGTAAAAAACAAGCCGTATGCTTTTTATTGGCTGCATCGTGCGAGGCTTTGCTAAAAATTAGTTTCACTAAAAATTGAAGGAAAATTGTTCAGGTTAGCAGCAAAGCTTGTGGCTGCGAGTTGTTTCTTACAAAGTGCAGTTTTGCCATTCCCTCGAGAAATATTTTAGGATTGCCACAGTCACTGAATTATCAAGAATATTTGGCTACAAGGCAGAACATTGAGATTGGGGCTGCGTATAAAAAGTGGAATTTTTCAGGAGGGAAATCTGCTCCTGCGTGACGGTTTCGAAATCACCGATCAGGGCATCGCTGGTAGCTCGGACGACTCGCCGTTGGTATTGATTGATTACGAATATGCATGTTATTATTATCGGTTAGTCATTTCTGTGCAGCACTGTTATGAAGTAAGGAAACTTTATGGATGATGAAGCTTTGAGCTTAATCTGGAGCTCTTAGCCGAGAGTTTGTCCCCCTCCCCAGTTACGTTTCCTATTTGCTTCCCTTGTATACTTGGCTTCGTTCTTTTCACCTATTCTGCCAGAATGAAAGACAGAATCTTAATTTTTTATAAGTGTCTTAGGCTGTTTGCAAGGCATCCATCGCTTGCATTGTTCCGTTCACAATTATTTATCTTTTTGCAAAAATGATCGCGACTAAACATACTGCTGCAGTTTGCCAGAGTGATTTTGCAGCGGATTCGACTTATGTCATTACTGCGTGGAATGCTGTCAGAATAATGAGGGAAGAGAGTGGCCATACTACCAAATTAAGCAAGAACAGTGGCCAAGTGAAGAAGTTCAGCGCGAATACATTGGTTCTTATTTGGATGAAGCCGTTAAAGTAAAGCATTTGTGTTCGTGTATACGTGGCGCACCTCATGAAGTCGTTGAGCTCTATCTGGAGGTGTGTAGCTCGGGAAAAGGTCCCAACATAGCTGTGCCTCGTATCTGAAAACATTCCTGTAGCAGCACTAAACCAATTTTTCCGGTTAGCCTTTGTATTCATCGAACAGTGCTTATTTGAAGCACATATCGCTTGTGGGAGCTTGGGATGAAGCACAAAGAGATTTTAACATCTGTTACTTGTAATGTGAGAGATTTCGCTCAGCCATTTCTTTATTATGCATTTTGTGCTGTGTGACAGCAGTACAAAACGCATGTCGTCACGAGGTTGTCTGTTTGTGTGTGCGTCCGCATCAGCTTGTTCGCAACTTTCAACTCGGTAATCGCAAAAGCTAGGAAGCTGGAAATTAGAGTTATGTTCCCCGTCCATGTGTGACCCCGCAAATTTAAATGTAACCTCCCCGTACTCACGAGTAATACGCACGGCCCCATAAAAGTTTTGGTGGGGAAAATTATTATTTCGGGAACAGCAGAAGCTAGGAAGACAAAATTTTATGGGTATGCTCTCTGCTCACGTGCGACCGAGAAAATTTAAATTCAGCCTTCCCGTACCTGTGAGTAACAAATATGGCCTAGTGAAACTTTTGGCGGGTAAACTATTTCGAAACCGCGGAATCTAAGAACCTGAGGTTTTGGAATAATAACCCCCTTCCCACGTACGACCTTGCAAATTCAAATTCAGCGTTCCCACATCCTCGGGTATCACCTACTGCCTAGTTAAATTTTTGGCGAGTGAACTATTATCTCTGGAACTGCGGAATCTAGAAGGTTGAAATTTGGGGGACTGTTCCCTGCCCACGTGCAACCTCTCAAATTTAAATTTAGGGGAGTGAAAATCATTAGCAGGCAATCGTTTGGTAGAAGAAATTGCACAAAACGCATGATAGCACCGGCTGCCCTGGTACGCCTTTTCCATTTTGTTACATACGCCTAATTTCCTTCTTATCTGTTGAAGTTTAAGCACTTTATATGTAGGTATGCGGGGATGAAGTTAATGAATTTGGCGTCATCTTTTATGAGTGGAGCAGTTAACGAGGACAGACTGCATTTAGGTTTAAAATACTGTTGCTTTTTAACTGTTATGGTCTTGTGCTTAATTTGCCTAGCATTTTGAAGGCCCGCATTTGGCCATATTCCAAAGTTGTTTTTATATATGTTCTCTACGAAAATATTTTCATTAGGTAGTCGATTAGTTTTAGCTGTCTGTCTAAAAATGGGAATTAAAAGTAGTGGAATTGTGATGAGATAAACATATTTTGGAGCGACAATTCTTCAAATTTCAAATTCTCCAGTATGAAATAGAAAGCCCTTGTAGCATAGAGACTTAAGTCATTTTTGAACATTGATGTAAGATGCCAGCCAC